TTTTCATTTTTCATTATTTTTGTATTTGAATTCTGCTTGTCAACAATTTCCTTGACCCAGTAAAAACCCCCATAAAAATCTGAAGTATTAAAAATTGGTGTATAATTCATTTTAATTTAATACGTCCTACACTGCAGTCTACAGACTACAGTATATTTCTACACATACACAGCCAGAAATCTCACAGGCCTGTCGCAAGCTGTTGATTTTACCGGCTTGCGGCAAGTTGTCAACAAGTCGCGACAGGTCTGTTGGTTTCGTCAGGCGGTAACAGGCTTGCGGTAACAGGTCTGTCGCAAGCTGTTGACAACAGAGCCGTAGCGACTTGTTGAAACAACCCGCTACAAACCTGTTGCTAACAAGAGATAACAGGTCTGATAGAACAACTTGCAGCAAGTCTGTTGAAATCAACAGGTCTGTTCCAACCTGTTCCAACAGACCTGTCGCGAGTTGTTTTTGTCAAGTCTGCAGCAAGCTTGTTATCAGACCTGCGACAAACCTGTCCACAACAAACAATTTTTGTCCTGTCACAACAAGTTTCAACAAGCCTGTTGTTGGGAAACAAACCGAAAATGTGAGTAAAGAGATATAAAATCGCACGAAATGGACACTTCCGGCTTCACTTTCTCATTTAATCATTGTCATTGGTGGCAATATTAAATCACATAGGAGAGATTATAGTCCATAGTATCTATTCTCTGATTATTATAAAATGCAAAAGCCGCTGTTTTATTTTTTTTTAAAAAGTTCCGATTTCCAAAATCCAAATTCCAATTTGCTGACGTGTGCTATCGCTATATTTCTTTAATCTGATTGGATAAACGCATGTGCACACGTCATCATTCCTCGTTGCAATTGGGCAAAATATTACAAACATATCAATCACGTAATCATGTTTAGTTGTTTTTCAAGTTTGAGCCAAACAAAATTTCAACAACTGCCTCAAACAAAATCAAACAAGTTCAAAGCTGTTTTGATTTTTGAAGAAACTGTGGCAATGAGAATACAAGATCTACTAGAGCTTAAGAAATGAACAATACATGAACAACCGAGTGTTACACTGCAACGTTCGTCATTGTTGATATGAACATGAAATTCGTTATATAATTTCTTTCCAAATTCAAGTGAAATCTGCGAGCGAGGAAGACGCCTTATTGAAGCTTTGTGTTATGGTATGTACTGTTTTGAAGAAAAATATGCAAGTAGGTTGTCATATTTCGGTCGTACTTCAAGACAATTAATTTTGAAAATTGTTTACGATAAGAACCTTTCTTGCGTTTGTCGTAATTATCTCGCAAGTTTGTTTATAAAACTTTCTATTCATATATAAAAATTATTTCGCAAGTTTGTTTATAAAACTTTATATTCATATATAAAAATTATCTCGCAAGTTTGTTTATAAAACTTTATATTCATATATAAAAATTATCTCGCAAGTTTGTTTATAAAACTTTATATTTCAAACTTCTATTTCACGAAACACTACAACCGAAATATGGCAACCTGTTTGGCCGTTTTTTGTTCAAAATAGTGGATACACAAGCTTCATAAGGCGCTTTCCTCGGTTTGCGACAGGCCTGTTGAAAACAGCACTGCTGCAGCTCTGTCACAACAGCTTCTAACAGACCTGTTGAAAACAGCATTGCTGCAGCTCTGTCACAACAGCTTGTAACAGACCTGTTGACAGGCCGTTGCAGGTCTGTCAGAACAGACAGGTACAAGGCGAGCGAACGCATCCAGATATCGGCTTGTTGACAACAGGATTTAACAGATCTGTTGCAGATCTGTTCCGACTTGCGCGTTTCTGGCTGTGTACCAGGGCTGACATGAAAAATAGAGGCATTCTGGCGAGTAATATCTTTAGAAAAATACAATTTGAGTTGCGCTTGCGGAATGCAGCAATAAGACTTTGATCTGGAGATGAATTTTGTGTTTTTTAAGCCTATTTTTCAAAAATAATGAATAATGAAAAATTTACGTGCGGCAGATAAATCCCATGCGGGCAGGGACGAGAAACATGATATCAATTTTCATTGGCCATATATAATAAAATTGTTGATTGGGATTTGTTGGGCCGTCTCATCGAAAAATTGGCAGTCTCGGGTCCACAAAACAGGTAGTGTTTCCAAATTATATGTATATTACCTCCATGGGGGAGTATGATTGGATATTATGAAGAGTAACTTACACAATATGTTCAGAATTGAGTTTTATAAAATTTACATATAAAAGTAGGCTACTAAGCATAACAACTATATGGTAATGGTAATGAAAAAGTCCTTTAATTGTAAGACAGAGACCTTGTGTGAAATAGCCTTAAGCCGTGTTTACACTACGAGCCTAAGCCTGGCCTAGGCCTAGCTAAATGGACTAGATTTTTGTAGTGTAAATGCACTTCAGCCTGGCCTAGGCCAGGAAATCTGGACCCATCAGAACAGGTGGCCTACATTTCCTAGCCTAGAACAGGCCAAAGTGCATTTACACTACAAAAATCTAGTCCAAAGCTAGGCCTAGGCCAGGCTTAGGCTCGTAGTGTAAACACGGCTTTAGTTGACAATCACTTGCCTTGAGACAGAAAACTGTCCTGGGCCTCAGATTAGAACATGGCAAATAGTTTGAATTAACCATAATTTTAATATGGAAAGGCAATTAACAAAAATTAAATAGCAGAGGGTCCATAAAGTCAGAGGCGTAGCCAGGGCTGGGGCCGCCCCCCCCCTGGCAAAAGTTTGCCCCCCCTGATAAAATGTATTGTATAAAAAAGGGAATCCTTGATTATATAGCTTCATGCTGTCAATAATGCAAAAATTCTGTACAATATATATGCTTGCTGCGCATCGGTGTGAAATTTAAAATCTTGTTTGCTTATTTGCGGCACACAGCTTGAAACACGTATCTTTTCTAACCCTAATTATTTCAATATATATTAAATGAGGGTTAGATGAAGTTTAAACCATTCTGGTTTTTTTACCAGTGAATTTTTAACGCGGGCTTGGCAGACTCAATGTTGTCGGAATCTTTGTGGTGAAGCATCGTAAAAAGTGATACGGAAATGGGGAAAAGTGCTACGAAAGCAATTGTAATGTTATTGAAATTTTTTACCAAAAAAGTTGTAGACGGGAGGATTTAAAATGTTGTGGTGAGGAAAGTTGTTAACCCCACCTAGGTTTTTGCTGGCCCCCCTGACCAAAAATCCTGGCTACGCCTCTGCATAAAGTATTAGTGTTATACTGCAGGGTCATTCCATGTCAATTATTCATCAGAGGGTTAATAGACAATTCCCATTATAGACTAATTTTAAAATTGGGTAAGGAAACTCAAATAAATCACCACAGCTAGAAAGAGCATACTAAAATTAGTAAAATTACAAAGTTTGGTTGCGAAATGTTGTAAAATGAGGAAAATATAGCCTTGCAAAGTTCGCAAATTGTGTATACTTTTGTATTGCTTGCGGAAATTCCTACCACATTCCTACCACATTTAGGCCGAAAATGTCACACGCAATACAAAAGTATACAAAATTTGCAAACTTTGCAAGGCTATATTTTCCACATTTTACAACATTTCGCAACCAAAGTTTGTAATTTTACTAATTTTAGTATGCTCTTTCTAGCTGTGGTAATTTATTTGCATCTCCTTGCCTAGTTTTAAAATTAGTCTATAATGGGAATTGTCTATTGTAACACACCTCTTGTGATCTGGTTCATTTTTCACCATTTATAGTGGACATTAATCAATATTAGAGCTGTGCGTTTCCAAAAATTTTATCTCGGTTCAGGTTTGTTTGGAACAGAAAAGCCTCGGTTCGGTTCCGTTTCGGTTATTTTCAAAAAAAGAAGAACTTATTTACAGTACAAATGTATGAACTCATTTATGTATGTTTCGAGCATTTTTACTAAATAGATGAATTTATGCCTTAAATTTGTAAGTTTGTATAAATCTCTGAATATTTTAAATGAACATTGCAATTGGAATTTATTTATGAACATAAAATATTTCTTTTTAAAAAAATTTAAAGCAAGAG